AGTGACCTTGCACTCCAGCACATTAACCTGCAGCAAACACTACATCAGGACTCTGGATTGTAATTAGGATAAGTGAAATAATACAGGGTCTCAGACATTTCATATAACAAAATTTATCTTTGTTTAGGAGGATTGAGAGCTAATAGTTTGATGTTATTGTTGTTCAGTGCCATCCAGTTGGTTCTGACCCATAGCAATCCTGTATAGGGTTTCCAAGGAGCAGCTGGTGAACTTGAACTGCCGACCCTGCAGTTCAAACCAAGAAGCTTATTTTATAAATTTGAATTAGCATAGAAGGTTTCAGACCTGTAAGAAAAGGTTGTAAAATGATCAGAACTAGCATGGATCAAGAACTATACCAGTGGCAGATATATTCTTGGAATGCCTCACTTATTCCCCATATTAATTCTACAATAATAGTTTCTCCAAGGTATTATAATCCCTATTTTACAGATGGGTAAACCGAGGTACAAAGAGATTAAAGTAACTAGTAAACCAGAATTCAGACCCAGGCACGCTAACATCAGAGTCTATGCTTGTGATACATCATTTGCTCCTACTGCTTCTGTTTTCCCAGATTCATTTTACCATGAGTGGATATTGTCACTAATTATTCTTGAGAAATGTCCAGAGACATTCATGGGAAAGTTAAAGAGAAGAAAAAGCAATGGATCTGGAAGAAAATATACCCCAGCGATTTCTTTTCTGTGGGTGAAACCTAAAGGGTACTCTCTGTTGATTCAGTCCAAATCAGCCAAATTCCTTTCTACCTAAGCTTAGTTTCCAAAGATAGCCCAGACAAGCTCTAGTCTTGTGGGTTGTAAATTCTCATAATTTAGAGTGTTTTATAGACTTTTTTAAAAGTTATATTTTAAACGAACTTCAATATCTTCTGAGGGCAGTTAGTTGCAGTGATTCTCATTTTCTCAGTTCTCCACTAAGGAAGCAATGAAAGGTTGAATGACTTGTCTGAAGCCACTGGTGACTTTCAGGCAGAGGAAGGACTGTCCTGGTTTATTGGTGTTTTCACAAAAAGATGACCTCTGAAACATCAATTATGGTGCATATTTAAAAAACTGGAACACCTTAGTCAGGTACAAGATCCTGTTTCATTGAAAGAATACTTAGATTTTATTGACCTGTTGGTCACAGTCTGGTTAATATGGAAAGCTGTGAAAGGGAAAACAGAATCACACTCATTTTACAGAAGGAGAACCTGAGAACTGAGATTCAGGGAATGGAGTAAGTAGCTTACATCTTCATAAATCAGAAGATTTGTTGCAAAGGAGCAGTGAGAGGCAAGAGCAGGGTAGTCTTGAAATCTCAAGGCCATCTTCAGATTTTCTGGATGCCCACTTGATTCAATAGGCTCTCCTGGAAGTCGTAAGGTACTTTTGTTCCTGTTCCATTATTATTATTTGATACATACTAGGGCAATACTGCTGCTCCTCGGAAACCCTATACAGGGTCACTATGGGTCTGAACTGACGCTATGGGTCTGAACAAAAACAAACAACAACAAAGGGCAACACTAGGGAGTCCTGGTGTGGCACTGTGGGTTAATACACTGGACTGCAAAGTCATTTGAACCACAAGGTCTGTGGTTCAAGCTCATCAGCCACTCCTTAGAAACCCTATATGGGGTTGCTATGAGTCAGAACTGACTCGATAGCACTTAACAACAACAAAGGGCAGTACACCACACAAACACTAGTTCCATCAAATTGAGTCCAACTCATGGTAACCCTATATATATCAGAGTAGAACTACATACACTCCAGAGGACTTTCAATGGATGATTTTTTGGGGGGAAGGGTGAAGTAAATCACCAGACTTTTCTTCCAAGGTGCCTCTGGTTAGATTTGAACCTACAAACTTTTATTTAACAGCTGAGCACGTTAACTGCTTGTACCACTTAGGGAACCCAACAGGGGCATCAGGACACTAGGGATTTGACTGCGTAAACACACCAGAGGGAGGTGGGGCAAGTTAGAGAACATGGATGTTTAAGACTGACCTCTCAATACATCTTTAGGGTGAGGAGTAATTTCATTTCAGGGGAAGCTCAGCCTGTTCACTGTCACTTTGGGGCTTTTCCATCCTTATGTCCAAGTCTCTTTGCTTCTGCTTTCATGTCCCTCTACAAGACAACTGCCTTTCACCTTCTCACACCTGGATTATTGCTTTAGTTGACCACTTAGTTGGTCTTCCTAACTGGGAGCATTTTCTCTCCATTATTACCTCACATAGGAACAGCTCCTAAAGGTTGCATCTTGATACTGAGTGCTTGTAATAACTTGACCCCATTATGTGATTTATAGAAGACTATAGAGTCTACCATGAACTGTCAGAAGAAAAACTGTCTTAGAAAAAATACATCCAGAATGCTCCTTAAAAGCGAGGATGGTGAGGCCTAGTTTTGCTTACTTTTGACACAACATCAAGAAGAACCAATCTCTAGTTGAATGGGAAAACAATTTGCTCTGTAAATCTTTACCCAATTAACAACACAAGTTTTGAAAAATATAAAAGGATGCCATATTTGGAAAAATAAAGAGAAAACAAGGAAAACCCTCAATGACATGCGTTGATATAGTCTCAACAATGGACTCAAACGTATCAAAGATCATGAAGATGGTACAGGAGCAGGTAGCATTTCACTCTGTTATATATAAGGCCATGAGTTATAGCCAGCTCCACGGCAGCTAACAACAACAACCATGTCTATTGGTTTCTTTTTATTTGTGTTTCCAGCAGGTGCTATCCATTGGAGCTGGCTGGTCACTTTCAATTTTATTCAGCAACACTATTGGTCACACACTTGATGTAAAGCACTATGTTGGATAGTGATGGATGCAGAAGTGAATAAAGCTATAAGTTAAGGATATTACCATTAAGTAATTTATAAAGCAGTGACAAAAACAAATAATTATATATGCTATAAGCCACAAAAGATGAGGCTTTCTGCTCCCAAAAAGATTTATAGCCTCGGAAACCTGTATAAGGTTTCCGAGGCTACAAATTGGAACTGACTTATGAATCAGTTATAGTCCTATGACTATGAGTAGGAACCGACTTAAAGGCACTTAACAACAATAGCAACAACAACAGAGGTGTGAGGACTGGAGAAAAAAAAAATACAAACAGAGCCATGATTAATTTTGACTAGTGATAACCAGGGAAAACTTCATAAAGGAACTGACATTTGAGCTGGGTATTAAAATATGTACAAAGGGACAGGGTTTGGGGGGTGCATATTCCAGTTGAGGCATTATCCCAAGCATAGGCAAGGGGCTGTCAACATGTAGGGCATGTATGAGAGGTAACCTAGATACCACCTCAGAAATCTAGGCATCTGCTAGTTTCTCAGGCTTCCCTAACTTGGATGCCTTTGCTTTCCCCATTCTTTGTCCACATCCTACCTCCAGCCCTGCCTTCCCCTCAAGGTATTTTCTGACTGCTGTAGCTCATGCCTCTCCTTGAAGCATGCAGTTCAGAATTTAACTGTAGTGTCTGTGTTGGAATTGCCTCCCCAGGTAGGCATTCTATCCATTTCATACTTTGAGACTGGAGGCCCTAACAATGTTAATGACAATTGGTACTAGATGATGCTATGAAATAATTCAATGAGACTCACATCTTCATTCTACCTAAATGTGGCCTATTTTGGATTTAGTTGACTATATTTGCTAACATATAAGGGAAATAGTTCCTCAAAATGATATGAATGGGTGACTCATATCAATGAGTGATTCCTTCCCAATATGGCAACCGGGAGTTAACATCTGTGCAAAATAGTGTTTTTGTGCGTGTATTGGGGATGGGGATATTCAGTCTTATCTTGAGTTTCTCACCTTTTTGGGCTGAACCTTAGAAACAGGGCCAAATCCAGGCAGTTTCATCATTTCTCTGGAGAATGACTCTGCTCCCTTCGAGGTCTCTTGTTTTGATGGTTAGGTTATACTTAGTTTCCTTGAAGTGCCCTTAAGTACTGCTCAGTTTCTTATGGAGAATGGGGGTCCTGGGTATGGCTTCTTCTTGCCAAAGCTGCTTGAAATGATACAGAAGGAGACCTTGGCCAGAAAGAAAACTACTTGATTTCTGAAATAGAATCTGAAGAAAAGTGTCCCAGCAGTCTAGCCCTACAGGAAGAGATTTTCTCACTCTATTTGGAGGGTGTTTCTGCATTGATGGAAGCCACATGTGTGGTTGGGTTGGTTAAGCCATAAACATTACTGGGTAAAGAGACATGGAGGACTAAAATGGAACTCCTATTCTGTTTGGAATCCTGGTGTTGCACTGTGGGATACTGGACCACAAGGCCAATTTGAACTACAGTGTTGTGGTTCAAACTCACTAGCTGCTCCTTGGAAACCCAACTGACTCAATGACACTTAACAACAGCAACAACAACATTCTGTTTGTCAAACCTACACTCACCTGCAGGATTGCCTCTTCTTCAAGGGAAGTGTATTTGTGTATTTTTTTTTTTTTCCTAATTTGCTCAAGCTATTGTAAAGACTAGTGGAGACCATGCACCACGACTTACTGCAAATATTGAGTGTGAGCAGTTTCCCAGTTGTTGTGCCATTGCATATTTATTACATGTGTGAAAACATTGATCATCTCTGCCAATAGGGTTGCTGAGCAGTGTCATAACCTCCAGTTACAAGAAGCCTCTAGTCATCATAAGCAGCTTCTCCAAACATCATTAGCAGTCATGATGGTTTACTCCAGGGAGCCATAAAAAGATGACTATTTTCTACATGTGCTGTGAAGTGAAGAAGGTTGGGAAGCACCGTGCTAGGGAACCTGCCTTGTCACTCATCCAGAAGGGGCCATTTTGGAAAAGGCCCATGTTCCATTTGTCCTAGATGGTTCCAGAGGGTTCCATGCTTTGCTTACATGTTGGGATGGGGGATTTGCCATCTCTCAATAAGTTCTGGGCAGAGTAGAGATGATTGTAGTTCAGTTTCTGGAGAAAGAGTGCTGCTTGGATCCTAGATCACCATTTCATAACTTGAAGTCCCAAGAGGTTTTCTGTCACATGTGCTGGTTTTCCCCATCTGTGCGCAAGGAGATATGAGGACATGTTTATGGTTGGAAAACTCCAGGCTCATGAAGTATCTCGGAAAGCTAATCAAATGGCACAGGGAATGCTTTTGATTTCAATGGTGCTGGAGAAATCTGAAGTATCAGGACCTTGTTCTCTGCTGATT